CCAAAACTTGAATATTTACAACCTTAAATGGAAATGATAGACTTAAAGTCTTAAAAAATTTTAATTTGAATATAATATTCGCATTTCAAAGAGCTGCCATTATTAGACAACTATGGGATAGTTTTGTCGACTTATATAATCATATGCATACTTCAAATATTTCTGGTAGCCAATTTCATCAAAAAGCTCGTCAATGGTTAAAACTCTTTTTAACAAAGTCTCAAGGTAATATAAATTCACCAGAATTTATTCGTGGACTTTATCGCCCAACGGACATAACACCATATATTCATGTCCTTGTATATCACGTACCTGAATTTATAGATTTACATCGAAGTATTAAATTTTCTTCATTTTCTTGCTGTGGAGTAGAAAAAAAAAATTATGATCATGTTTTATATTTTTTTAGAAAGTCTATGAAAGATGGTGGAATAGGTGATAATCGAAAATCTGCAATATTTGAAATTATGGAATATGAAAACCGGTCTAATTTTTTTTATATTAATGATATACTAACTTATTTTAAAAAAGATCGTGTAGTTCATGAATATTCGAATACTGATATTGAATAGAACATTATATATAATTTTATTATAATACTTATATATGTATATACATGCAATACTTATTTATATACTACATATAATTAGAATTATATAATATATGCATATTTGCTAATTATTGTTATTTTAATCGATTGTTTTATGTATAACTTATATTATTACTAATAAAATCGTCCTACAGAAAATTTTAAATTAACCCAACCTGTCTCAGTTCTATTTCCATCTTCGTCATTAATTATACACTTTTTCCAGATTATTATCATTTCGGGTTGTTCTAAATTCATTAGCGAATTATTTGAATTATTTGAAGTTTCAGATACTAACACAACTTCAAACCTTTGTCCATGTTCATAAATTCTACGTCCCCAATTTTCTCTACTAAAAACATTAGTGAGCGTATCATATGCATCATAACCACTGAATCTACAAATATATTTTTGGTGACAAATTGAATATCGCTTGATATAATTTTTAAAGATTGAAACAAACTCTGGTTCACTAAATGGCGTCGAAACTGTTTGTAATCCAGTATGTTTTATATGAAGTTTAAGATATGATTGTATAAGATAAACTAACACATTCTTAGCTTCAGCAATAAAAGTATCAGAAAGAATGGAAAGACTTTTAGGAGGTGTATTATAATTAGAATGTTTAAGAGTTTCATGACGGCTTAATCCACTTTTTTTTTAAATGCCGTATTTGGACAAAGCAGACATGAAAAAGATTTGTCTGAAGAGACGTTTGCAGAATTCTTGCTGCAATGTACTCTTTGGTTGTGTATGTTGAGGCCGCGATAACTTTTAAATTTCTTATTGTCACAGAAAGAACATAAAATACTATCAGTATTATTGACGTTCATTTTTTTGTAGATCTGTCAAATGAGGTGCGTCACATTAAAGAATAGATAATTTAAGATGGGTTGAATGGTGGGAAGATGGGTTGGACATAAGGCTGCTGTAAATCAGGGGAGCAAAAAAAATTTTTTCGGGGTTTAATTTTGATCAATCATTAATAAATCGGTGACCATTATTTTAAATTTGGTGACCATTATTTTAGATTTGGTAACCAAATATCTGCTTAATTCCGCCAATGCGCCGTAATGTAAATTTAATAGACGTTTCCTTATTACTTATTTTTGGAAGTCGTCTAAAGCCACGTACCCACGTGACTTTTTTGTGCAAATTAACCAGCCCGAAGAAGTCAAAAAATAAGGCGAGACCAATTTGATTCTGTGTTTTACCCCACGATTCCCTCCTCTTAGTAAAAAAATTTAGAAAATTTTTTTTTAAAATTTTACTATGTATACACATATTCCCTCCCCCTTCTGGGGGTAATGTAAAATAACGAATCAAGTTGATCTCGCCTAAAGAAAACGCAAAAAAAAAAACGAAAGACGGCAGTATCAACCTGTCTTGAGCACTAATTAAAAACGTCGAGAAGGCAATTTACCTAAATCTCTCTTCTTATATCAACACCAAACTAACCTTAATTTTACTTTTAATTTAATTAAAACGATTAAAACGTCAAAATCATGTGGGTACATTGCTTTCTAGACTTATTTGATAATAAATTTTCAGTTTAATTTCTGGGTATTATTTTATAAATTCTCTAGCTTCTTGTGTAATTTTAAAGATGGTTAAAAATAAAATACAAAAGAATCATGGAAGTTGGCCGATTTTTACGGCTTGTTTATGCCGGGTGTTTCAAAAGTTTCAAAAGTTCCTATACACGGTCCCTTTTTTTTTAATATAGAGATAATGATGGTTATTTATGCAAATATGTATATTTTGCATAAATAAGGTCACTTAAAAAAATGGGACCGTGTATAGGGACTTTGGAACACCCGGTATGTAAAAAAAATATTGTACATCATTTATCCAAAAATAAGAGGGCGTTTAAAGACTGGCACATTATGAAACTACCCGATATGTAACCCGGTTCGGCCCGAACAAACAAACGAAACGACAAAGACAAAACACAAAAAATATAAAAAATGGCTATCTAAACTGTCTTCATGCACTAAGTAAAAATGTCGAAAATGCGATTATTATATTCAAATTAAAATTTTTTAAGACTTTAAGTCTATCATTTCCATTTAAGGTTGTAAATATTCAAGTTTTGGTGCTTTGATCTTCCCAGAATTGGAAATGAACTTGAATACGATCCATTTCAGTAATAATTGATTGACGTATTTGTACGGTGTACCATAGGTACTCAAAGTGACATAGTTTGCATTTTAATGTTTTAGTGTTTTAATGTTTTAGTGTTTTAATGTTTTAGTGTTTTAATGTTTTAGTGTTTTAGTGTTTTA